TTGCGTGAACAGCTCATCATGTTAAGCTATAAAATGGGTGGATTTTGGCCACATTAATTATATGAATGCAACAACTATGTTTTATTTGCCTGGGTTTAAGGCTTAATGAATTGTGTGAATGCATCAAGATGGAATGCGTGAAATATAGATAGACCTCATTTAACAATCACAATTGGCATCAGCAAGTTAGTCACTAACTGAAGCGATTGCTCAACGAAAGGAATATTAGGTTTACCATCTTACTTCAGCTTTTCTTTGCATTTACAGAGATAGTAAATGTAAGGACTGGTTATAAAGTCATTTTTTAATCATCATTGTAACTTCAAACAATCTCTAAATGAGGACTACCTATAATGCCTTTAAGCATATTCTCTACTTTAGATATAGAATATCTGTACAATTAGAATCCAGTCTTGGAAAATACATAGATATTTTTATTTTCTTTGAGGAAAAAATCTTTGTATTGGGATAAGTCTATGGAAATTCTCAATCATCCAGGTCATGGTTGTCCCAAAGATGCTTTTTTCAAGAGGCAACGGGACTTTCTGGTTTTTCTTTGAAGATGTTTCACTTCTCATCCAAGAAGCTTCTTCAGCTCGGAGCAGAAGAAAGTCCAGTTGCCTCTTGAAAAAAGCACATTTGGGACATTGGGATAAGTTGTTTTTTCCTGTATAAAATTGAAATAAAATGGTAAGCTGCAACAAAAAGCCTTGAATTTATATATTGTATGTTGGGAATAGGCAAGGGTTAAATAGAGATGGAGGGAGATGCTAGTCTTTCTCTTGTTTTTTGAGTATAAATCTTTTTTTCTGTAATCAGATGGGGCTGAAGAAGAAACTACCAGACATGATGCGGTGATACCGCCATGAGTCAAAGGGCCCAAAACCAGAGTCCATGCCCATTTTATGTACTGCCCATATATAAACCCCACCCTCACCATCCCCAATTCCACAACGCTCAAGATAAGCAGCTCCCAAGTTGTCCTAACCAGGATCCAACATTGAGGAATCTGGGTCAGCCTTCTGAAATGTGTACCGGTGAGCTTCTGTGCAATTTAGTGCCAGTTTTATTTGCATGTTGCATGTGCATATTTTAAACTTAAAGAGCAAGTTTCCAAACTCAATGGAAACATTGATTTCTTTTTGTAAAGCAAGGGTGATTAATTGGCTTGATCTGATGTGGGCAAAACTAGTTGGATTTCTATAGCTATCGCGTGCTTTTTGACTGATTATCTTTGTAGTACCATGATGCCCTTAGCCATGTAATCAAAGTTGACTAAATTAAAAAGAAAAGGAACTATCAAGCAGTGGAAACATTTGTTCAGCAGTCTGCCTTCTGAGGGGCTCAGATTATTCTAGTGTGTTCTCAAGGAATGTCATCCTTTTTTGTAACAGAACTTCCTGTGGGTCCTATGCATTTATCAGCTGCATTGCAAGCAGAAATTAAAGCAATGTATTCTTCTGTACTAGAAAATTCTGCATCTGTTTAATTTTCATCTGAAATGTAATTGTTAAAGGCACAGAAGTCTCCTAATATGGATCTTACTATACACTTGCACTTGCCTTCTCTATTCCTTGTTAGACATGATTTAGACTTCTGTGTCACTGCACATCAGGGAATGTTATGTGTCTGTCTTTGGAAACGGTTGCATAGCTGTCATATTTATACCTCTGCGAATGTTAGTGCTCTGATTAAGGGTTCCTTAAACAACAATGTGCCTTGTCTTCTAGCCTACCTCCCAACAGGAAGTCGGTTCAACCAATCAGTTTGCAGGATCCGCATCTCCACACAACACTTAGTTGAGACTTGCGAGGAGTGTGCATTGGCCCATCTGCAACCATCCATAACCTATTCTTACCCATCAACTCCTTCACAGCATCGATGCCTACTTACAGTTGTAAATAAGTCTAAATCAAGTGTTTGTTCTCTTGAGAACCTCCATACCTCATGTTTCAGATCATATTTGAAACAGAATAGTCTTCCTCCAGTCATGGGCCCTATTTATCTCCTCTTGCTTAAAGGAGGAAGAATCATCCAAACACCAGGATTAATATTAGACTAACAGTCAATTAAACAATACCCCAATCAGCAGACAAACAAGATAACAATAAACAATAACCTATTCAAGGAACCACCAAGAACATTCCAATCAACACTGATAGGGCAACCCACTAGTATATAAAAATAAGACTAAGGACTTTTTCCTTCTAGCAATGATGATATTACCTAGCTTGGTAATGAAAGGTCTGTAATAAAACCATCAAGGACCCAACCCCATCAGTTTTGCCTCCTTGGCTAAATCATTTCTTATGGAAACATATCAGTGGAATATTGCTATCACATTGAATTGATGGTACAAAGATCACCATCTTCTTTGACCAGATATATAGAATCCATTGCCATCAGTTATGCTAGTTGTGATTGATTGGAAATGAGGACTACAGTCCTTGGAGGACAGCAGATTATCTAACCCAGATCTTAACCAACCCTATTTGCCTAACGATTTGATTGTATCTTTTACAGATTAGATTTACAGAAAGTCATGATTTATAGAAGTTATCATTTCTTTAACCATGGTTTATTAAACAAATTACAACTGATGTAGAACATCAATTGGGGATTAATGTACTGACAAAACCTAGTCATGGAGCAAGACCATGAGCCCATTTAGCGCATTATTTGTCCACCCCCATCTTCCTAGAAGAGCCAATATGTTTACAATGGCATGGACTACAATTCTCATGTCCCAAAGTGTGGGAATATCTGTTGTATCCAGTATCTCAGATAGAAACTCTTCCCAATCAGCACTTCCCAAGAGCCTTTTAAATGGTGGATCTGTAAACTGATATTTAGGTTTTCAGTGTTCAATGTTTTGTGTCCATTGCACAGAAGCACCATCTCCAACTTCTTTGCATTGATAAAAGACCATCTGTTTCTCTGTTTGTAGAAACCTTTCTATCCCCTTTTAATTCAGCCAATGCATAAAATAAATCATGGTTGCATTGATCATCCTATCAGTATGAAAAGTCTCCACTGTATCATTTGAAGAAAGTGTTGGTACTTAATTTTCCTACACCAATATGGCAGGCTGAGCTGTGGTGCTTTTGCTACTTGCTAAAGAACAATTCACAATATCGAGAAATAGCTTGGAAATATCCTTGCAGACAAACAACCAGTTCCTGGTGGCCTTAAGCACCCTATTTTCTTTCTTTATTTGCTTTTCAAAGAGGAAAGGCTCATTTTTCTTAAACTTGCAAGGTCTATTGTTGCTCTTCTCTATCCAGCTCCAATGCTCTGTCCAGCATGTAAGAAACTGCTGGAATGCATCATTAGTCTGTAGATCAGTGTTTGTCAACATGGCAAATTTAAGCTATGTGGATTTCTACTCCCAGAATTTCCCAGCCAACGTGATGCTGGGAAATACTACCAGTAAGTGTTGAGGTTCACTTAAACATGCCAAGGTTGAAAAGTATGTCCTAGACTTGCATTCTGCTGTCCAGCGGTACTACCAGGACAGACAGGGTTTTGCTAGAGTTCAGAAACTATTAAGTAGAGGCTACTAGCTTTTTGGTTTTATTTAAGAAAAAGCACACTCGCCTCTTCATGTTAATTCAGAAAGAGAAGTTTTCTTCTGAGATAAGGCAGTCTGGCTACCTAAGTAATGTAATCCTAGAACGTATTATGAAATCAGGCTATTGTTCCTATTAGTTCAAGGCAATCAATTCTAGTCAAAGCATTTCTCCTAAGATTTCACCCAAATTTGTTTTTTCTAGCCCTGCTTGAAGGAGCAAATGTTGAATCTGGGATCTTTGGCATGCAAAGCTTCTCTCTACCCACCAAACAACAGCACCACTGGTTTAAGCTACATCTGATCCTTAATGTATATAACATGCCACATACAGTCTTTATTGTAAAGTGATATGTTACAGAGAGAAAAAGAAGAGGAAATGAAATGAAATTTTTAAATGATTATGCTACTAAAACATAAGAGCACTAATGCATAAATGAATCAAATCTTAAGTGACGGGGGGGGAGGAACAAAAATAAACAACTGATCAGAGCAAAAAGCTTAATTAATATTCAGGGTATTTTTCATATGGGTATGACTCACTGGGAAGTTCTCTTGCTCAAGCTCCTTTACAGCAAATTGGACCTGGAGCCCACAGTTCATCCTCATCAGGCTTTAAATAGGAGATTGTCTAGGGTAGACAGTCCATAGTTAGTCGAGGCTGAAAGTATTCCTAGGGTTTGCCATCTCAGAGCCCCGAATGTTTCAGCCCAGCCTTGTATAATTCACATTGAGATTCAGTGATGTGGTGCAGTCCTACCACAAGTGGAGGACACAGGTTGGGAAAGGATGACCTTGAAATTCAACAAACCAACAGTAAGCTGGATGGTGTAAGGAGAGAAAGAACAGAGAAAGAAGGGGAGGGAAAGAACATCAGGAGGGGAGTAGTGGGGGCAGGGGAAACTGGCAGATAGAGCATTCATAAGAGAGTCTGGGGGGGACCCTCCCAAAAGTGGCATTTTGCTGAGAGCTCCTCTGCCTTGGCAGCACTGTTGAGTAGGGTGTTGGGATGGCTGGTTTGGAGGTATCAGAGGCAACCTTTCAAATCCTGCAATGGGTCACATTATGGGCTTCTCTTTCCCCTTCAGAAAAATCCATCGCTGAAGTAACTCACCTATTTCCCTACATTATCATAATCAGTATCTTTACCCATCCCTCTAAAATCTTTTTGGTCATTTTAATACTGGATAACTACAGCATTACTGTATTCCTTCTTGCCTTTCTTCAGCTTTCCTGTCTTGGATCCTAGCCCGGCTGTGTAGGGGGTAGATAGGCTGGAGCTTAGTTCTTCTTTTCCTCCACCTCCTCCTCCTCCTCCTTTTCAAAGTACTATAGCAAGTTTCCAGTTCAGGGCTGAGTTTCAAAGTTTGCAGGCAGGCAAGGGTTAAGGCAGGACTCCGCTGCTCCAGCAGTGGCACCTGTCAGTGGGAGGGAAGCAGCGAGAGACTGGAGTGAGTTTTGCCCGAGTCTCCAGCAAAGCTGGAAGCAGGCAGCAGCCACATGGAGATCTCCAGCTGCAGAGGGTGAGAAGAAGGCTGCGTTTTGCCCATGCCTGGCTGGAAAGAGACTATCAAGACGAAGCCTGGAATGGGGGGATCCTAGGAGGCCAGAGGCCAGATCATCCCCCTTCACACACACACACACCAAACAAAAACAAGGAGGCACTACAGAGCTCTCTTAGATCGCTAAGGAGGAGAGCAAAGAGGCTGAAGATATGCAGCTGACTCGGTGCTGTTTCATATTTCTTATCCAGGGGAGCATCTATCTTCTGGTGAGTGACCGAGGGGCTGGGGAAAGGGTAATGTTAGTGCTAGTGACATGGCTTTGGCAAATGTAAAGTCAAAGGGCTGCTTCTTAAACCGCCTTCTTACATTAGTATGTCCAAGCAGTTTCATGGTCTGCTGTCTTAATAGCACTTCTAGTTTGGCATGCGCTGCACTCTGTTCTCCAATTGTCCTTGCACCAACTTCGCCGGGCAGGTCATTGCATTTTAGCTTTCAGAGGAACCTTCTGTTTAGGACCATCCTTTCATTCATCTTTCCATAAATGCCGCCTCTTTTTCCTTTGCAATGATTCTTTGCTTGTGCTTTCAGCAGCAGCCTATTAACAGTTACCAGGATATGTTTATTTTGCTAGATGTATATACCACCTTTATTTTAGGAGCTTAAACGGAAGACTACATAGCATTCCTTCCCTCCAATTCTCTCTCTCTCCCCCCCCCCACCCAACAGCCTTGCTGGATTGAGTTGAGAGAGATACTAGTTCAAAGTCATCCACTGAACCTCCGCGGCAGAGGACAGTCTTGACCAGATCTTGCCCCTCCAGATGTTGTTTAATACTTTAACCGCAGCTCTATAAGGACACTGAGACAGGGAATTGGCATTTCTGCCAGAACAAACATTATTTTACAGCCCCAAATTCATAAAGAGAAAAGATTGAATCTATTGCTTAAAAAACAGTTTATTGAACTGTTACAGATCTCAGATAAGTGAGTGAGGTCACAAGCTGGAAGTTGTAGAATCTCTAGTCAATTTGGCTTTTTTGAGGGGGGGAGGAGGATAAATTTATCCCTTCTCATAGCAATATCACCTGCCCAAGCAAACTTCATCCGGCACGTTTCTCTGAAGCCACTGCTAGAAAGCCATCACATATGGCAGTCTGTTTTGCCCCAGAGAAGAAGAAGAAGGTGCAACTCAGAGGAGTGAAATAATCTTCCAAGCACAGGGGTGCAAAGGGAAGCTGCTGAACATAGACAAATACAAATACAAAAGGCTGCCCCTGAATGAGTTTTGACGTTCATAGAGAGATTTGAATCCAATGCCAGAAACCCATGCTGAAATAAAGTAAATGATATGATTGCCAGAATATATTTTCTATCTCTCCTTTGAAAATGCAAATAATTTTCCATCTATCTTCTGTAGGAGTTGTCTTCTAAGCGGCTGCTGAAATTCACAAAATTTAATTAGCAAAGTAGGCCATAGGAACAGAACAGTTTTCAGCACTAGTGCTGAGAAGCATTGTTTACCTATCAACAGAGAGGAAGCATTTGTGTCAGTCAGAATGGAAAGGCACAAGCACAAAGTTAATTTTAAAATCCTCCCTTCATTCTCTGGAGTTGCGAGTTCAAGATGTGCTGCTCACTGTTTGATCGACAGCAGTGAACTCCTGTGATCCAAAGAGCTCGTTTCTCTGCTTGTTTTTTTCTCCACCAGTGGAGAAGGGAGGGGAGACAGGGAAATGATCCGGAGGCTTTGTAAACAGTGATTAAATGGGAGGATAGGGCAGGAGGTATCTTTTGTCTTGGATTGGCTTGATCAGCATCACTGAAAACTACAATGACCTCTTGCCTCCCACCTCCTCATATTGTATTTTTCAGCTCAGGAAAAAGCAGAAACCCCACTGGAACTAGTGCTCCAAGCCTCATCTCCTCTAGAAGCGGCTTGGGTTGCAGCTGAGAACAATCTCATGTTCTCTGGTAGAGACAAGCACAAACAGACCAGAACTCCTCTTTGCTAAACTGCTTTTCCCTCAATTGTGGGTTGTTCCTTGCAAAAAGGAAGAAAAAACATGCTGGTCTACAGGGAAAGCAGCCTAGAGTTTTCTTTGGCAGCTGAGTGCCCTTATTCCCTGTGGATCTGGTGCAGATCCCTCTTCCTCCCAGCACTGCAGCTGGGTTTAACAGATTGGGTTTGACTGGTTGGATTTTGTAGTTGCCTCCTGTCTGGTCAGTGGTTGCCTCTTCTCTGTCACCTTGCCTTATCCTCTTTTTAAAAATACATTCCCTCTCTCACTAACAAATGGCTTCTTCAAAATTTGTGCAGATGGAAATAAATTGGATTGCACCAAGGAGCAAGATTGCAATCTCTTGTCCTTCCTAAAGGGGCAAGTTGGGAGGGGCCACTTGGCAAGATTCTAGAAATTAGAAGGAGCCAGAAGAGTCTCCTGTTGCAACAAGAACCTTATATTGAATCAAAGCTCCAGCACTTTCAGCCAAGTATTCTCTGCTCAGAATAGAAGCAGCTCTCCTAGTTTACAAGGAAAGCTGGTTCCTAAATATTGAATCCATCTGAATCCAGGTTGGAGATGCTTGGGATGGAACCCAGTACATTCTTAATTGTGAAGTTACATATTGTACGTTTTGACTCCCAGTGTAAATGTTAGATGCGAATGTAGTGATCTCACTGACTTAAAAATGGGGTCATTTGGCTCTTTTGGGGACATCTAGGGGACCTTCTGCCCATTCACTTATTGGGGACCCTGGATATTTGCCTTAAGATAACCAGTGGGTTTTTACTTGCAAAACCTATGCACTTATCTTGAAATCCAGTGTCTCCTTAACTCAGGAGCAAAGAAAAGAGGAAGCTCCTTCAACCAAACTCTTCAAAGATCTTGTTTTCAACCAGCTGTGGTCACTTCTTACAACACAAACAAGCTTGAAAATGGAGCGGAGAGATCTCTTGTTATGCAAGTCTTCAATCGTTGCCTTTTAATTTAGAAGGTGCAGCAAGGGGTTTTTTGTACCAGAATGATATAATTTAATATTATACTACTGACACATGCATTGGTAGTATCCTTTTTATTTAAAAAAAAATGTTGCGTGAAAAGGGGGGGTCACTTTGTAACACTGGGATATTTTAATGTTGCTTTGAAGTTCCAGAAGATCAAAAAATACACTATTTTTAAATAAGTAATCACCAGGTGAGATAGCAACTACTGTCCCCATTTTCGGTATGTAGAAATGGAGAGGATGTTAGAGGCAGACATCTAATGAATCCCCAGCAGATGGGAGTTGGTTATAATGAAGGATTTTTAAATTCCACCCCCTACCACCACCACCACCACCACCCCCCTCTGCCTAGAGACGGGGCTCCATTTAACAAGTTTACTAGCTATAAGAACAAGGGTTCTTATGTCATCCTTTGTATATATCCCCCTCCTTCTAAAAACTGACTCCAGTATCCAGGTTACTATAAGATGAATATATAAACAACTTGCCTGTCTCTAGACTGGGACCTGGGAAACTCATTCACTGGCTCCAATGTCATAAAAATAGCCAAGTCTTATTTGGCACCCAACAGAGGCAGTCCCAGTGGCTCCCTGGGTTAATATCAGCGGAAGTGCTGTTAATTCAAGCAAATATACAGAACCACCCAGTTTGATGGCCATCAGAGCTGAAGGTCAAGTATTCTCACCCCAAAAAAAGATCTTATCCAGACGCTGCATGTGAGAATCCTGGGAATGTTACTGGTGGCACAGCTCATTATTTTTCTGAGTGAAGCCATTCAGAGCAGCATTGTAATAACTTTGACATGTGTGCTCCAACTAAAATGATTGTGGCCTGGCCTGGCTGACTTGGTTGCTTAGATCAACGGTCTTAATGTCATCATGGATGAATAAAAGTTCTTCCTGATGTCAGAAAGAGGGATTTTTAAGAAAAAGGTTTTTTTTTTAATGTGTGCATCTCTCTCTCTCTCTCTCTCTCTCTCTCCCTCTCTCTCTCTCTCTCTCTCTCTCTCTCTCTCTCTGTGTGTGTGTGTGTGTGTGTGTGTGTGTTTCTAAGAAGGAATCCATTTGTGTGTGTATGAGTGAGTGAATGAGTATTCTAGGAGGGAATCCTTTCGTAATATTCAAGTAAATAGCCATCTTGAAGGACAAGCTAGTATTAACATACCAAAAACCCAAGCTGAACAGAGGTTTATTTACCAAGTTAATATTTTGAACTGCTGCACCAGACTGAAGGTATGCAGCCAGTATTCCTATCCTACCTTCAGTTATAATTCTACCATTTCTAGAAAGGGAAAACCTGCAGTCTTCTCGATGAACTACAGTTGCCAGCATCTTTCCCCAATGGCTTTATTGACTAGGCATGCTGGGAATTGTCTTCAGTGAATGGTGGAGGGCAACGGGTTTACCACTGTTGCTGCATGCATCTCAGGCTGAGAGAAAGCCCCACTGCATTTGGTGATATCCTCATGCACTGGTTTCCTGCTAAGATGGTATATACCAGCAGATATGTGAATCAAAAATGATGCTTAGATCATGTGAATGAGTAATACAGCCTTCCAGTATGTTAGTCATCCTGACAACAGTGCCGCGGGGTTCTGAACAGATCACCTTGCCCAGCATCTGCCCCTGCCCTCCTCTTCTCAAATATTTTTTAATGGTAAAAAAGAAGTTGAGGAGCTTTTAAAAGAACAATGTTTATGAAGTTCCTTGGGGGAAGCCAGCAGGTGATGGCCATATCTGGTTCAGAAATAACAGTCCCTGATGAGATGGAAGGTAGACATATAAACATATAACCAAAAGGTGAAATATAGATAAATTTGGGTCTAGGGTAGGCAGTAGTGTACCCACCAGATTACAACTCCAGAATTCCCAGCCATCAGAATAAGTCTGACAATAATGAGATAGAACACAAACATCGGAAACATTAGAATAAGTCTGGCAATAATGAGATAGAAGTCAAGGTCATTTTATGGATCAATGTCAGATTAAGTGCCCAATGCAGAGAATAAGAATAGATGGATAGAATTTGCAGTGAACGTAGTTGAATATTTTCCCACCCACCCCTAGGATTTTTATTAGGATCATTGCTTTTTAACTTGTTCCTAAACCATTTGGAGGTAGGAGCAATCAGGAAGGTGGCCAAGTTTTCTAACAGCGTCAAGTTATTTGGAATAGTTAAAAGAAATGCAGCTTCTGAAAGGCTACCAAATGATCTCTTCAAACAACGAAAGCAGGCATTAAACTCACACATATGGCACAAGGTAA